AAAATAATAGTTGTTTCACTGAGGATATTATAAAATTTGTTGCGACGGATTTGAAGTAATTTGTGACTCGGTAGAATCGGAGAGGCAGGGGTCGAAGACTTACGGGACAGATATCGTTGGATGGTAGCTGGATGTAATGAGAAGGACCGTATGTGTTGAACGTAATGGTTTTAACTCCTTGCCATACCATTTAACCGGGCAAAATCTGGGCCATAATTATGGTGACCGATATCTCACTCGTATTGTCACCTCGAGTCAGACTCGTGATATTTATGTTTGGTCCAAAATTTTTATTACAAGTCAAACTCGTTATAGTACGGCAAGGGGTTAAGGAAACGATACTTTAGTCCCGAAATTCTGTTCGTTGACGTGATGTAATAAATCTTTTTTTTGGGTATCATACTGTTCGATATAACTTTGCGATATTCTTAATTCAATATTTCACCTCTGTTAAACAACTTTCTTTTCAACATGTGTCACCTATAATCTTTCCTATGTTTATGCCTCGAGGACATTTACGTACGAAAAGGGGATGAGAAAGATGTAAGAATGGGTTGTAACGCGTGGAATCGATGAACTGGAGGGCTCTTCTAAGGCGCCTTCGGCTGATCGACGAACGAAATGCAAAACAAACACGCAAACGACGGAGTGGGTCGGTCGCGCGACTTCCACTAGGGTGGGAAAAACAAAGAACATCCCCTACGTGATTTTTCTTTTTGCGCCACTGGTAATACCGAAGAGTCGCGTGCGCTCTAATTTGACTCCCGTAAACCATGATATTGTTTGGAAGATCGAGGGTTCCAACACGAATTAAGAATAGGAATTTCTTTCCCTTTGAATCCAAGCTCCACCCCCTTTTCGTTTCCATATATTTTCAACAATAATCGTACATCTTCCTTGGATTTTCAAGAACGATCATGCAATAATTTAAACCAGTAAGCATGCATGGAATTACTCACCATGAGTAGATTCCGGATACAGACCTTGTGATGCTGACACAGCACTGAACGGGGGTGGCACTCTATTATGGTTTGTATAATGTCTACAAGCAAACAGATTTAGTAAATATTAATAAAAGCATATAAAGGAAGATGCGTAGATGTTTCAGTAGCGCAACTAAAAGAGTTAAAACAGCTTACCCAAGCATCCTGCGTCCTGCGTCGGTCAAGGATGCAACTTGGGTAGAAGGAGTGAAACCAATTTGTGGTTTCCAAGCATTGTCACTGTTACGGTTCATTTGTTCGAAGTCTTGTGGTTTTAAGACTCGCGGTGGGTCTCTGGCACCCTTCAATTTCTTCGCAGGGTAAATGAAATTCTGGCTGTATTTTGGATCTCTAAATCGAACACTGCAATATAAATAAAAAAATGTATACAATATAAAACAAGTCATATTGCAAGTACAGAGCTAAAGTAAAGATGTCTCCATACGTACCAATAAACTTTATTATTTCTGACTGGAAGTCCATTTATAGGAGAGGGTAAGGTGGCGCCATCTCCGACACAATCATCTGCTAGTAACACCGTACCACGCATTCCATCGATGCATATAGAAGTTTCAACATCAAATCCAACTTTATTCGTATATAATCCTTTAATAAAATTGTAACCACTGTTGCCTAGTCCAACGTAGAGACGGTCGTCGCCTCTAATGTTTCGTTTCTCTGAGAAACAATAATGATGAACAATTACACTTAAGCTGATGGCAACATGCATTCAAAAAATTCATGAAATTAACGTCATACTTTCTGCTTCTGTCAGGCATTCGTAATATGGTTCCAAAGCCTTGAATAATCTTTTTTCATCCACAAATGGCAGCAAAGCCACTCCCTGCCAAGCAAACTTTTTCCCATTCAAATCTATCTTAAAATCTTCTGGATAGAAATCTATTATCGTTGATTTCTGTAAATAATTAGATTAAAATTAACCAAATACAAACGATATATGTATACTTCCTTTGTAACATAACATTTTTTTAAACTTACTGGATCACTCATTAACTTAGCCCATGGAATAGGAACGTGTTTACTACTGGCTGCTGGAAATACTCCCATTAGCTGTTCCAATGGACGGAACTGCGACATTAATAATAAAAAAAATTAATCGTTTATTTCTCTGTGTACTAAACACAAAGACACGGTTTTATCTCAGCCTACCGGTATAGTTCCTTTCTCAAATTCGGTCGACAAGCCGCCAATATTAATGAAATCACTAGCGAATGGAGCATAATGATAAGGAAAGTACCATTTCCAAGACGCGCAACCTTGATAATAATACCGTAGAACCCAACACAAACCTCGCACGTATTGCAAGGCTACATTGTTTCTGTGTAAAAAATACAGAAGATATTATTATAATTTAACAATTACAATGCATTTGAGTTTAGTTACCTAAATTGCAAATTATCGGGAGCGACATCAAATTTTGATTCGTAATAGCGATCTTTAAAGCCATCTTCCCACAATCTCACTTCATCGTGCGCTTGGTCATCGTCTGAATCTTCAATATCTTCGGCTCTACGTTTGCGCTCTGTGTTTGATGTATTCTATTCAATGCGTAAGTATTGAGCAAAAGTAATGTAAAAGTAATTATTAATGAAAATTTAGATAGATTGTTATACCTCTGGACGTATCATGCTTTCTAGAGCTTCATTAGCATTTCCCCTAGCCTCACTAGAACTACTGTAGTTTCTACTTTGAATACGCATCTGATAAGCTTCATAACGAGCATTTTCCACTGGTTTAACTCGTTCACCCAACGGCTGTTATGAAACACAACATTGAAAATGATTATTACTATTGCAAAAAATAATAAAACATTAACACCAATAATTTTTAATAGTAAACAATACCATAGGAGCAAACTGTCCAGTAGGAATCCACTTCGGCTTGAAATTACTGATTGCTTGCATTCTAGCCTTTTTATCTTTCTCACGTTGCTTAAACGCTAATTCGTTTTGTTGTCTCTTCTTGAAAATTTCGTCTTCAACATCCCCGAGGTCGGACATTATCATTTGAACTCTGTCTAAATTTACGTCTCCACTATCTGTTAAAAATCCCTGTAATAAAAAATTACCACTGTCAATAGTGTCATTATTTAATAAATATTGTTCTTTAACGACATCATTGTGCCAGACAAGTAATACGCACTCCTGTTTTATATACTGTTTTTTTATATAAGTTAACGAGTCTATCGATTGCCCCCTCTCTAATTTCCAATGATGGGAGATGAGGTAGAAAATCATTTCCTACGAAAAAACACATGAACACCCAATCATCGATAGCTCGTTCGAAATCGTACTTAAATGGTAGATTAGGCATTTGCAACTCTCTCTCTAAGTATTCCCTGAGTACATTTAATCGCACAAATATGTACTGGCATTCGGATCCGAAAGCATTCTCTTCTTCTTTCTGATTTAGCTCAGAACCCGTACATTCTTTCATTTCGTGGCCCAACTGACCGCATATGTCGCATGGTCTTGGTTTATTTGGTTTGAATTCTTCACGAATAATTGTGAAATTCGGTTCATGTGTAGCAAGTCCCAACATAATTAAATCAGCATCTGCTCCGCACAGAACGTGTTGCGTGTTGGGATCATGATCAGGTTGTGCTGTTATATAGAAATGTTTAATACGTGTACAAAAACATATACAAAAAAAATGTTTAATAATGATATACAGAATTAGTTATTTATTTACCTCTTTGTTTACGTATAAAATCCATTATCTTGTGTTCTCCTTCACCCGGTACATTTGCATCACTCAAAATTACTTTTATATTCCTCCAACCGGGGTCATTGTTTAAACGTTCGTGTATGTAATAATGTAAACATTTTGATAACCTTGCCATAAAAGGTGTGCCCTGTAATTGATTCAATAATTGAAGATGCTGTCCCTTTTCAATATTATAATATAAAATAAACTTATGCTACAAACCGGTGTAATACAATTACTATCAAAATGATCTTCTTTTGGCTTTTCTGGCGGTAATGATGCACCCTTCAATGCTAGTTCAGAACGTATTCTTTTAATTTCATTAATTTTTTCAGTTGTCTCTTTTGATGCTCTGAATCTTCTTGATCTTTGTTGATTCATTTTGGCTCTAGGTGCCTATAAATAACAATCGTGTTATCAATATACAATTACTCATTTTTATCCCAGATGAAAAGAATACATACAACTCCATCAATGGCCATATAAAGTAACTTCCTAGGTCTCACTATGCGAAACAGGCGATCAATACATTCAAAGATAGCTTCCATCATTTCATCTTCATCTTTTGGTGCTGGTCTGCAATGACACAAATCATTATATAAAATGTTTTTAAATAGTTCACAACTTCAGATTGCTAATTAATTTGATAAATACTTACTTATCCTCTGGATGTGTACAAGGATGTATAATACCATTCATATCAAGATATAAATTGTCAAATTCCACTCCATTTGGATTTGGATCCTGTGAGTTCACAGGTACTCGTACGCCATTGGTAATTATAGACTATGAAAACAAGCATATTGTATTTGAAAAATTAGACATTTGATTGTGTTAGAATACATTTATTTTCAAGTGTAATACTGAATTATCTAATAATAATTCTTTATGTAATTGTCACATTTTTATCACGATACACTAGTATAAATTCAACTGTCATCAAACATGTTCAAATTAATAAAATACTTCACAAATATATCAAATTATTACATGATACAGGTAAAAATCATATAATACTGGCAAGAAATATAAACTTTGTCTGTTCAACTAGTATCTGTTGCAAAATAAATGAATTATTCATCGTCCAAACAAACAATCTAACCTACCTTCTGTTCGATGCATTCGACGATAACGGAAGGGTACTTTCTACTTAACCACCGAAAAAATGCTGGAACACCCATCTCTCACTCTTTACCGTCCTCTTTCTCTGCAGTTTTTTAGGTATTTCTTTTAATCGGTTCACAAAATGTTTATTTGTAAATTAAGCAATTACGAACTATTTTCACCGTTTACTCATATTTAATTTACAACATGTACTTAGATACAAACTCTGACTGGAATACCAAACTCGCTGTACAGTACTGCCACCTTCAGTTTTTACGTATCAACACATTAATACTTCAAATTTTTAAATAAAAAAACGATATAAATTATAATAATATGAAATAAATGCCTGAATAATATTTCTAATGAATTTTACAATAATATACTCTGCCTTAATACCTATGAAAGCAATGTTATCTATAATAACAGAATAAAAATATTTGTTACATACTTTATGAAATACTCCCTCTATTAATTTGCCGGTCTCTACGTGCAGAAAGCGAACGTGTATTATAACGTACCCATAATTAGTGATAAATTGACACGGTATGCTACTTTTGAAAGGATTAATTACTTATTTTATTTATTACTTAGAAGAAACAGAGTTATGTCTACATAAGTATACTGACAATTTTCGGAAAGTAAAAGGGAGTTAACTAAATTCAAGTGGGAGGAGCACAACTCGTTTTCATAATTAATAAATAGTTGTACAAAAATTCCTTCAATCATGAACTTAATACTAATAGTTTATTCTACAAGAAATAATTATTTATACTATGATATGTTTCAAAAATGGAAAATTGCGTTCTGTTTCAGTAAGCTGCATAATAAAATAGTTCCAAAATGCAACAGAAAAATATTGTGCATGGTCCAGCTGATTCTCTTCCTCAATTCAAAAATTTATCTATAGGACAATTACTTTTAAATCAGTTAAACATTCATAGATCTTGGGTAGCACAGGTAAACAATTGAAATATTTTCTTTATTGATTATATGTATAAAATACATTTGTTATTATCGAACAATAATAATTTTTTTAGATAAATGCTTACACAGGAAAAGAACAAACATTTAAAGATATTTTGGATGACAGTAGAAAACTAGCAATTGCTCTCGATAAGCAAGGATTAAAAAAAGATGATCGTATTGCTATATGCAGCGAAAACAATACAGAATTTTGTATACCAATGTGTGCTGCATTTTATTTAGGTGTTACTGTTTGTCCATTGAATCCACTCTATTCGGAAAGAGAATTGAAATATGCATTAAACATTACGAAACCAAAGTACATTTTTATATCAGACATTGCAATGATTAATATGCTCAAAGTTCATCCTCAGTTATATTGGTTGCCAAAGTTAATAATGTTAACAGAATCAAAAAATAATACAATTCCCAACATAAAGAATTTAACATTAGACATAATTATTGATAATAATTTCCACGCTTGTCCTATTGATGATGATCATGTAACGGTGATTCCCTACTCTAGTGGTACAACAGGATTGCCAAAGGGAGTGATGTTAACAAACAAAAACTTATTAGCTGTAATAAGAACTTTTGTAGTTTTAACACCTGAAATATTAAATACTAATGTAACAACATTAGCTTTACTACCATTTTTTCATGCATACTCTCTCTCTGTACTTCTTGTAAGACTTACATTTGGGAATAAGAGTGTCATTTTACCACGTTTTGAAGAAAATATGTTTCTACGAACCATAGAAAAATATAGAATTGAATATATAACTCTTGTACCACCTCTTATGGTATTTCTGGCAAAACATCCTATCGTGGATAAATATGATTTATCCAGTGTTAAGGATATTTGGTAACTCTCTACCTATGTTTCAATAAATTCTATCATTAAATTTCAATGATTAATAACTACTTTTGTTTGATAAGGTGTGGTGCAGCACATTTGTCAGAAAATATCACAAAAGTAGTTGCCAAAAGATTAAATATAAAAAATATAAAACAAGGCTTTGGGTTAACAGAAACCACTCTGGCTGTACTTATATCACCAAATAACAGTACGAAATATGGAAGTGTAGGGACACTGGTCCCAGGAATTTCAGGTAATTAAACCAAAATCCTGTTTTCATAATATATTCTTAATAACATTTTCCTTTTCTTTTCTTTTCTTTTCTATTTAGCAAAGGTAATACCAATAAACGGGGATGAATCAAATGAATCCCTAGGACCAAATAAGATTGGAGAATTATGTTTCAAAGGAGACTTGATAATGAAAGGATACTACAATAATGAGAAAGCTACAACAGCCACTATTGATAAAGATGGCTGGTTACATTCAGGAGATATAGGGTATTATGATGAACAGTATTATTTTTATGTAATAGATCGTTTAAAAGAACTTATTAAGTACAAAGGATTTCAAGTTCCACCAGCTGAACTGGAAGCATTGCTATTAACATATCATGGAGTTAAAGATGCAGCGGTTATTGGTATACCGCATGAAGAAGCAGGTGAATTACCTGCTGCTTTCATTGTTAAACAAGATGGATTTAATATAACAGCAGAAGACATTATTAAATTTGTAAATGGTGGGTATTGAACATCAGAGAAATTGATATTTATTCTTTATTCTTTACCAACGAAAACTGTTACAGAACGTGTATCAAGTCACAAACGACTTCGAGGTGGTGTCAAATTCGTGGACAGTATTCCCAAAACTGCATCAGGGAAAATACTGCATCGAGTTTTGCGCGATACGTTCAAATCAAAATTGTAGAGTTCTGATACTAAGAAGAAACATTATAAGTTTTAACTCTACAATTGTTTTATTTTTATATTTATTTGAAACCATTAACCAACACTATTTAATTTTTTTTAATAATACAGACCTTCAAATGCCTTAAAATGTAATACCAAAAGTTTCTTACTCTATTCCTATATTTAAAGTACTTTGTATTGCATACAAATGCATAAATGTACAGACTAAATTTTTTACACAGGGAAACAGATAATATGCGTTATTGTTTCAATTTTTGTTTTACTTCGTCTGGTATTTGATTTAAATACCACTGATGCGTTTCACCAGGAGCAGTAGCTAATATACCCCTTGCATTTGGAAATGATGTTGTTGCATTATATGAATAAAATTCTCCATAAAAGTCAGTTAGAGTACCACCAACAGCACAAAGAACAGCCTCAGGTGCACAAGTATCCCACCTTTTGCAGCCTTTACTAGCAAATACATAAGCATGAGCTTTTCCTTCCAACAAAAGTATTACCTAAAACCAAATACATTAAACTAACCACTCAGATAAATTTCAAGCCATTAATTGTGTATTATACCTTATATCCTGCGCCACCAACACGTAACACTTCATCGGGACATAAAGCATTTATAGCTGCTTGAACGTTACTATCTGAATGTGAACTAAAAGAGTATGTAATATTTGTTGTTACTAATTACAAACAATTGTAACTTTTATAATTCTATAACCAAAGCTTACCGCGTAGTAGTAATTATTCTTTTTCCATCTGGGACTGCAATTGGTAAGAATCCCCCAAAACCTACACCATTAATACCCCAAATTGTTCGCCCCAATACATCACTATTAGTACTTTTATAATATGGTTGATGTATTACACCTCCAATTGCTCTTTCTCCGATTGCTACTCCTATTAAAACTGTAACATGTTCTACAAGTCCTTGTGTATATTCAGATGTTCCTGAAATATAATTTTCTACTAATATATATGATACATAAAAAATGTATATATTTTATTCATATTAATCAAAACGCATGTATACCATCCAATGGATCTACCCAAACACATATATCTTTAGGATCAACATTTTCCAGGTGTGCTGGTAATTTTAATTGTAATACTTCTTGCTCTGCCTCTGTCACAATCCAATCAGATGGGACATCATAATTTGTTGATTCTTCTTCACCAATAATAGTAATGTTTGGAAATTGAAAACTTAATGAAGCAATAATACACCTTTGAGCACAACGGTCAGCTTCAGTTTGTAAATCATTCTTGCCCTTTTCTATTATATTTAAACCTCCATGACTCATAACGTCTCTTATAATTTTACCTGCTCTCACAGTAGCACATATAGAGGATGCCACTATGCGTGACACTAAGGAAGCTGTCTGAGCCATATCTCAAATTTTCTTGTGAATAGTAATAGATATTAACTCTATATTCTTGAGATTAGAGGAACTGTGTCTTTTATGAACAACACTTTCAATATGTTGGGCATACAATCATTCTGCTTCAAACTAGGAAAACATTGTAATAAAAAGAATTACTTTTCTCAAGGCTACATTGAGTAATACAAAGAAAAAGGTTACAGAATTTTGCAATAGACTTTCACAAAATTTTATTTAGTATCTCAATTATTCATTGTTATAAGAAATAAAAATCTTAAACTTTGATCACAAATATTATAAGTAATTTTAATTGATACAAAAACTGTTAGAAAGAATAATTTAAATGTCGTTTAAATTTCGTTTTCGTTCTTGGTTGCATACACAGCTATTTAAAAAAATATAAAATTCATACCTTTAATAATTGTATACGTAAAAGATTGCTAGATAAACCTCCGATCGATACATGTTTTTACATTTTTTTGGTTTCATATGAAACCATTAAAAATTTACAGTTAAATAATTTTTTAAAACGTATTTTTGTGACAGTAAAATACTATTGTTATGAAATGGCATTAACACATTTCCTTAATGTACATAATTATTCATAAAAATAGAATTTTGTTGTCAGATACTAGAAAATGACGTAAGAAAAACATAGAAGAGAAGATACTTACAAAGTACTAATGCTATCTTAATCAACATATCAAAATGTAATGTTATAATATTTTTGTTATAATAAAGTTCAATATATCTACATAATCCGTACAATGTATAAAACACTTTTACGTATAAGGAAATTTTAAAAAAATACAGAATCTATGTTTTGTATATTTGTTATGTATCGCAATATTTTTTATCACAGCTGGTACAATTTTGCGTACAAGATGCTGATAATACGCAGCCGTAACTAAATTATAAAAATGAAAACTTAATAACAATTCTTAAGTAATACCGTGAAATATAAAATATTTATTAAAAATAAATCAACTCCGGAATGTTAAATTATTTTCAAAACATGTTCAATAACCTAACCGTAAATTAACTTTTCAATATGTAAATTCTATATTTCTGACAAAAACAAACGATAAGTAAGAAAGAATTAGTATGATGCGGCAAAAGTTGTTATTATCAACATATAATTTCAAATTGTTATTTCAAAAATCTTGTAATAGTAACACTGATCATTTAATAAAGAAATCTGCTTTAGAAATAAGTTCAATACGATTACTATATTGTGTTCAAACAAAGCTACTTTCTGACAAAAATTTTATTCTGGACTACGTAAGAAATATTAATTTAGAACATGAACAAAATATTCCATCACAATATTTACTTTGTAATACAAGTGTGTGTGATTTATACCTCATAAATAAAACAGTAGCTAAACAATTTGTTTCGCTAATTCAAGACGACCTGTTAAAAAATGCATCGCATGTAATGGAAGTGAATTCAGGTTTAGGTTTCATAACAGAAACATTGCTTGATATTGGTGTTCCATTTATACACATGTATGAAAAGGATATGATATTTTTTAAATCATTAAAAAAGTTGTGTACTAAATTTCCTGAAAAAGTAAGTTTAACAAAAGCTGATCTTTTCAATTTATCAAAATTAATGTATACAGAGCACAATAATGCTCATGCATATGATTTATTAAAATTTGTACAACAAAAACAATGGAATGAAGAAAGTTGTATGCAAATAATTGGTACATTAAACAGATCAATGTTTCTGAGACATTTAATATTAAGTGCAGTCTTTAGAACATGTTTTATGATGTATGGACGATCAACATTTTACCTTGCCATACCACCATCGATATGGAATGTTAGTATAAGAGTATTTTTAATATTCTGTCAAAAATATATTATTTTATTCATATTGTTTACTTTTTAGAAATTTACAACAACTAATAATGCACTGGGTTATACCCAGATTATGTTTGAAACAATATTTGATTACCATGTTCTTGGAGAATTAGATAGAAAAGCATTTATACCATGGAACAAATATATTAGGAAACAAGTACAAATGAAAACTTCAACATTATATAAAGGGAAAGAGAAACATGTTAAAAATTTATCTATTCTTTATGTTGTCAAAATTGAACCAAAACGTGAAATACCTGTAATCTGTTTTGGTAAAGAAGATTTAATATATTTTTGGTATTTTATTCGACATTATTTTTACAAACCATCAGTGCGAGTGATACCTTCATTAGAGTAAGTAATTATATTACTACAATGCTATAGAAAGTAATATCCACACTATATAGCAATATGAAAGAAACACTATTAAAAATACAATTTATTGATATTTTCAGAAAATTGGTACCAGGTTGTGGTATACGATTGATAGAGAAGGATTTGAACGTGTTCACTCAGTTCAAGGATTTGAGTATTAAGGAAGTACACAATCTCTTTTTACAATTTCGAACCTGGCCAGAATTTGAAGGAAGCATTTTTACATTGAATGCAGCTGATGTTAAAAAATCATACATTAATTATGTACAGGCAGAACCAGAGGATCATGATGTTCACAACAACAGTGAATGGAGAGAACCTGAGAGTGAAACATACGAATTATGAATTATGTTTTATTCATAATATATCAGTCATGTTTGTAGTTATTGTAAACAAAATAAAAAATTCTAATTATATAGTAAAATTGATTGAAGTATAATATAAATGTTATGAAGAATATTTCACATTTTTTACTTATGTTACATATATTTCCTACATTTATCATACATTTATATTTATATATAGCAATAAATATAACAGTAGTGGGAGAAAATTACAGTTCACTACATATACTTGGTAGTGATTGGTTAGTGATTCTAATAGTCTTATTTTAATCAACTGTAGTTGACCTTGAAATCTCAGGATAAGGAAAGGTCACTTAAGGAAATAAGCATTAAATATTTTTAATAAATAGTGATAGTAGATGATTTAAATCAGTAGTCATTTATATTAAAACTTGAATAACCTACTTTGAACAAAAACGAATATCTGTGGTAATTTCTTATTTTAAGAGTTGATTATTTGCTATACATATACAATGAAGTGGATAGTGTTTTGTGTTACACTGATAATATGGAATTGTATGATGTTATGTCAAGATATTATATTTCCAAATGAAGAGGAAATACCTCCCATTAGTAACAAAGGACCAGTAATTATATTTAAATAATAATCTATATTACATTACATAATAATAAAATGTACTCAATAGGTGTACTTCTTTAGATAACAGAACGTGTTCCAATAGTTGCACCAGGACAGTGTCCTGAAAATATGTTGCTTTATCCTGGATATGGAAACAGAAGTACATGGATATGTGACTGTAAACCTAGATTTTTATATTTCCCTCTAAACAACAGTTGCCATGAAGCTTATAGACAAGGGCCTTGTCCACCACAGAATTATGTAGTGTTGTTTAAAAACGAGAGTGTGCCCAAATGTGTGGAAAATCCATGCATTGAAGACGGTTTGGTAAAGTACAATAATGTATGTTATCCTCTCAGAGCTATAGGAGGTCCATGTGGTTCTGATGTATTGAGTGTAAATGAAACTACTTTTGAGCTGGAATGTGAACCAGCAAATATTGTACCTTTTATAATAATTGATGCACCTAAGAGGCAATGTCCTACAGGGACTCGTAGGAACAGTCTTGGAATATGCAGAGATGTTATTTAAAGCGTTATTTACAGTTTCAGATTTTTTAATACAATAAACTTCTACATGTGTTTAGTTTACTCGCATATTATGAGAATATATTACATACATATTTACAAAATATATTTAAGTAATATTGCTCCTAACACAATATTCATACAGTTTATATACATTCATTAATACATACATATTTATAAAATGTATAATATCAGCTTCCTCTATTAAAGGTTATTAAACTAATTGCAATACTTAAACAATGTTATATATTTTCCCTACTCTTACAGCCTGTATATACAAATAATGAAGATTTTAATACAATAAAAATACTTTACATGTAACGGTCATTTTTTTACCTTAAAATGAAGAACGTTTGTTAAGATATTGAATGTAACGTTCTAAGAGTATACATTAATGCTAATTACAAAGCATGTAAATAGCAATTTTATCCAGTCTTGATATGTATGAAGCTTAAAAACTAAGCAACAACTCATTCTTTTAACAAAAAGTAATTCATTTTAATATATTATTTCTCATTTTAAAAAACTTACATTTAAGTTTTAAACTGTTCCATTCTTTCTCATAGGAAGCCATTTTCATTTAGAATGTATCAAATCATTTATATCAATTAAAAATTGTGCGTCAGCAAAATTAATTCCACAACGTACAAAGACTTTTAAAAGCAAGTTTCAATGAAATCAGAGTATTGGAATTTCTATACTTTTTATAACTCAAATACTTTATAATACCTTTATATTTTTAGTTGACTTCTTGGATCTCGTTACTTCTGGCAGCTTCTATCAATCTTTGTCTTTCTCTGTACATGGAAACTTTCATATTTTCCAGCTGATGATACCGTAACAATTTTAAGACTGCAAAAACTGACAGACCAACCCAAATGGACAAACTGGTCCAAGTTCCAAATTGAGCAGCACCTAATTCTATATGAAAACCAGATGTGTCTATTCCATCAGCTTTATCAATGTCATTTCCAGCTGCCAATTCACACGATGGAAATCTTTTTGTCATATTTTGACACCAAGTCATAAATCCAAGTGTAACAATAATTGCAGCAATTAAAGTAATCGTTGTAAGAAATATTGAACTAACAACATCTATGAATGCAGACAGAAAGGAGCTGTCTTCACCACGATACATCAACACGGATAATCTATAGATTTGTATAGCAGATGTAATGAACAACATTAAACCTACAAATATTGTATAATGACAATACGCATGTGAAGCCCAATTTACAACAAACTGTCCATCTGATTCTTGCCATGTTCCAGTTGAAAATAGTAGGCAATGCCCGCTGTAATAAAGTTACAATAACAATGTATCTTATATAAATTACCGTTATTAATTATTTTATTTAATGCTGTAGATACCTAAATTCATCCTGATGCAAACTCATAGGTATGATAATACAAAGTGACAGTATAAAAGCTACAATATATCCGGATATTTGGCTGAGAAGCAAAATATTGGTTAGAGCCATTTTGTCAGGTACTACAGAAAATTTTTCTTCGGAAACACGTTTGCACAAATAAAAATTTGTGTCTTAACAAACTTTTAGCGAATTATTGAATAATTTTTATAATCATTCACTCGGATCCAACGCATTGGAATTTATTAGTAAATGCGTAAGAAGAAACTGCCGTGAATGGTGGCGCGGCAGTCTGGTAAACCTTACAAAGAACTTCTATTTATCTTTTAAATAAATTTTCTTAATTATTAAACATCAAATATAATTACGTAAAAATAGTTTTACCAAATCTTGTAACAAATAGTAAAATAAATATATGGATAATAGATATACAGAAGACGTAAAAATCGATTATTGTAACAAAATATTTTTTTGCAATTTTCGGAGCAAATTGGTTTGCTCGCACTTAAAAAAAAATTATGATGCAAAGAATACAGTTCGTCGTATTGCATACGCACTTATCTTTTTATACAAAAATGAAATATATTTAAATAGGAAAGATATGTAATGTTTCGGTAAATGATGCAAATCATTTACGATTCTTTCTTTAATCAACTTGCATGTATATAGAACAAATATTACGAGTATGTAAATGCAATAACGAAACAGTATAAGTTTCTTTCAAAATTACAATAAAAATAATAACCAATGATAAGAGATACAGTCTGTATGAATTCGATTCATATGAGCTATGTTTCTGCGCTGTTTTGCGGAACACAGAAACAAAATGAATAATTCCTGTTGATGAATGGGAAAAAATAGATTCATAAGTGAACGTAACATAATTGCAGCATCATGCGCGATAGAAATGGTGAACATTATCGCATTAAGACTCTCGAAAGTCAGCTGATTTCAGTCAACGAGTGTTTCGTTTCACAGTGTTGTCTCTGATAGTCAAACCCGACTGTATCCGCGTGTGGACATGTGTGTGTGAATGTTTGTAGTGCATCCGAGGGAAAACATTACGCAGCTAGAACCCCCGTTACATCCGAATCGTCGTATTATGTTAAGGATCATTGTACTAAGTTGGACACGTGCTAGGATGATGGAATTCACACGGATAAATTGTTTTTCATGCACCGTGCCCGAATAACAGGCCTAACATAAAACGCATGACGGGAGACAGACCTTCGAAAATCCCGTCTTTCTTAGATTCAGACTGTCAAACACGAGGATAAAATGTCTTGGTTGGGATCTTTCCCCTGGTCACAGGGGATCAAAAAACGAGCCTGCAGATATCTCCTACAACGATATCTTGGTCAATTTCTGGAGGAAAAATTGACATTGGATCAACTCACTGTAGATCTTTATAATGGAACTGGTCGTGTAACCAATGTCAGCCTTGATGTACAGGTACTGTCATTTTCTTTGTTTCACTCTTCTTTGTTAGCGCATATTTGATAATGATAAAGATAAAGGAATAATAGGTGCAATTTATGTGTTTCATTCAATGCACATTACAATAATTCTTCCTTATTTAATATAATCTTTTGAGAGAGAGAAGTTTTTTATTTAGTTTTGTTTTTAATAGGCACTCAATGAAATGGGAGAACAACAAAATCTTCCCTTGGAATTCGTTGACGGTTTTATAGCAGAGATGTCCATGAGCGTACCTTGGTCGGCTTTGTTGAGTGAGGCCACGTATGTGGAAGTGACCAGTCTTAGATTAACTGTTCAACCTAGGCAAAGAACAGAAAGTGGAACATCAATGTTTGAGTCTATGTGGAGTTCCATGACATCCAGTATGCAACTTGCACAAGAATGCTTGCAAGAAGATGCCAGTAATGTTGGAAGTTGTCAGCCATTGGAAGGAGTAGAACTGTTTGCCCAAACTATAGATTCAAGTATGAATTTGGTATACAGTACTTAGAGTTTAATAATGAATGTATCGCATTACAAAAGATTACATTTGTTTCAGTACTATGTCGGGTAAAAGTGAGATTTATAGATACCATAATACGTTTGGAGCATGTGCCATTAGATTCTTCCACAGGAGTTGCAATAGAAATGTGTATAAAAAATCTAGGATATTCAGATGAAGCAGGCTTGGACCCAAGTAGCACTTCATTGGATCCTAGCCAATCAACAAAGAGTTATATTGTGTCAGCATTCACTACAAAACGATTTTGTCTTGAGGGTGTCACTTTTTACACAGATGAATTTCCATCTCGTGCAAGAACTTTTTCTAGAAGTTTAATAACAACGAGTAGAGGTTCGACGCCAGATTCAAAAGTAATATTTCTTATGAGAATTAATCAAAAATTGAGTAGAATTAAAAATTCAGAGAAAAATTTTGTGGAACATTTTTGCTACAGAATTCAGATGGTCAATTTTCTTCAGCACAAATATCTCCTGTTCAAAACAACCAAACTCCTCCAGAAGGGAACATTCTCAATAATTTAAGTGGATCGAATCCTATAATGTTCGCTAAATTGGCAGGCAGACAAGAAATAAGATTGAAGTTGAAACAAGGAGAAGGTGTTTCAGGTCCAAAGGTAAAGATTGAATGATTGAAATCGAACAATGAACATTTTATATGTTATTACTAGATTGTAATCCATGCGACACAAAGTAAAGGAGAACTGATTACTTTAGGTAGAATTAGAAGTAACTCTGGGATCTTTTACTTCATTTCTAAGTCCTCGGCAGATGCATGTTTTACTGGAACTAGGACACGGACTTGCGTCTCCAGACTTGGAAGACATTAGTAATGTTGCACCAAGAACATGTACTGAAAAACCTATGGCTGGTAGCGATTTTAACCGCGTGGAACGAGAACTTATTCATCAAATACATCCAACCCAAGGATTGCGTACTATGGTATTAATATAGAATACACATTACAAATATACAAGAAATATACCATAAATATGAAATTATAGGATCTGAGGCATACGCAGGGATGGTCTACAGCATCTTTAGATGAGTCAGACAATGAAGATGAGTTTCTACCAATGCGATTACCAGGATCTTCATCTATGAGTGATTCTATCACAAGCAATAATATTAACATGGATGGAAGTATATCCACTAGTAGTATTAGCTTAAAAAGTTCCGCTACAAATTTGTCAAAGCAACGTAAACACAGACATAGTATGGACAATGGTCCTTCTGCAGAGACGTCTCACTTTCACGTGAGAATATCTTCCATAGCTGTAATTCTATTGCACGAAGATATATTGACGACATGTGTAGATGGTGGTGGTCTAACATGTTCTAGTATACAACAAATGAAAAATTCCGCGGATGAATTTTTTAAGCAACTGGGATTGTTTGCAGTTGGTGGATATGGAAATAAAGATTTTGATAAAGCATCTAAATTACTCCTAGACGCTTGTCATTTGAGTCATATTAGGTGTGCACAAATAATAAACATGTAAACATTAAACTGGTGGAAAATGTTAATCAATTATTTCGGATTTATTACAGATTACTTGCTGCACCTTTAGTAATGGAAGGAAGGGAAAAAACTACTACATTGTCTTCTGTAATATCAGGAACGTTGACCTTAGCCAGTTTAGAAATTGTTGAATGTTTAATTGATTCAAACAATTCTAATGTAAATGGAACACCTCCAACAGAATATGTAGAATTACTTGCTTTTGTAAAAGAGAACTCAACAAACCACGGTTTTACTACTAAAACAGATTTTAAAATGAAATTTAAATACGTGGAAGATACTCACAGTACTAGACACGCTCAGTTAATGAAGTACGCACATCCTTGTACAGAAATTGAGTAAGTTGAGTAAGTTCTAATCTATATTGAAAAATAAATTTCAATAACTTCTATTAAACTTTTATTATTTGTTCAGCATTGAATTGGAGCCTTGTAAAAGCGAAGTGGATATAACTATTGTAGATAGGATATGTGCTTTACTTAATCCACAACCTATATGTGTTTGTAATCCTGTATCTAAAAACAAGAATATTGTAAGTTTTGCCACATTATTACGTAATGTTTCCTCCCGGTATAATTTAAACTATTATCTTATTATATATCTTCCAGAATCAACAAACTTTGTTTTACCAAGCTGTGGAAAGTCCAGCATTGTCAGACTTTGCAGCTGCTATAAATGTATCTTCGTCGCAATGTACAATAAAACTAAGGTAACATGCAAGTAAAAAACTAAAGACGTACGTGAAACATCACACATTTAAATGGTCAATAATTTAAAAATAGGTTTCCAATACCAGATTTAAGACCACTGCACGACATGAATCGAGCACCGTGGTGGAAAAGATCAGTAAGAACAGATTACATGATTTTGAAACTGACAGATGCACAAATACATTCTACCATGAAGACTCATCCTCACTCTGTAACAAAACACGAGATTCAGGTTCGAAAGATGCTGCTTTCGTACGTAGAAACAGATGTGGATAAGGCGATAAGCATAGGAAAAGTTACAACCGATGAAAAGAACAACGCATCTTGTCAGCAAGTCAATGAAGGCTTCGGCTGGGCTAGAGTGGTTATCACAATTTATCCACAGCGTTTGAGTGGCCAATTGGAGGATAGTTCTGACGGTGAGTCGGATTCAAGCTTGGACGAAACTTTAGGAAACGCGCCTAAGCATCAACCGTCACCGTTTAGCTCCAAACGCGTTATCCACGAATCTGATACACCCCACTCTAGCTCTAGACCTCATGGGCCGATTGATAGAGACGATTTAGAACAGAGGTCCGTCCAACAAAATATTTTAATGTTCATTTAAAGATAATATAAACTATATATCGTGTATCAAAATAATTTAATTTTATTCTTAATAGGGAGGGGGAAGAACTCATTATACCAGGCAGTCGAGAAGAAATGCTAGAGTTTATGGATGAAGGCATTCGTGGTTCTAGGATTCAATTGGAAATCAATTTTCCATGTGTATCTATCCAGATACCGTCTAAACATCTTTACGAGTTGTTGTTTAATAGGTTCAACACTGATCTCTTTCTATGGGAGCCATCAGCGCCAAGACCAAAGTACAGTACACACATGGAGAGCCACATTGGCCTTGATTTGGCGTCTACCTTGTTGCAAGAATCTTTCTATCCCAGGTAGCAGGCTGTAACAGATATAACATAGTTGTTTCACAATGCCATTAAAATGAGTTCATACATTTTAGATTCAGCACTTGCAAAAGCGGTATCCAATATGATTCCGACTCGGAATCAGATGAGAATGGCATATTTCATTCAACGGCGGATAAAAGTTACAGACAACACCAAAATAAGGTGTCAAGAAATGGTCAGAGCAAACTAGCATTAATTTTGAATATAGATCAAGGCCTCCTCTGCATGTTCACACCTGTTCGTGATTCGATGTACAATGTTATACCCGGACAACAAGGAGAACTGATTATAAGAGTGGAAGATGCAACGATATTTTCAGTGCCCACCTATAAAGCGAATTCGAATTTAGGTTACGTGTGTGCCATGATAAAAGAGATCTCCTTGGATCATTACGGATTAATGACCACTCCTTCGCGACCACCTCCACTGAGACCTATTAATAGCGTTACCCCGAAACATTGTCAAAAGGCTATATATAAAAGTGAGCCAGATGCAAACGTAATGGGAACAAGCAACAACGATAAAGATATGGTGATGCTTGCTATTCGAATACAAACTGCTCATCAGACTCACCGTATAAAGGTTTGTTTCACAAATGCAGCAGTCAACCATGATTAATTAAGTTTGTTGTATTATACAGCTTTCGTAACAGACTTTCAGAGTAGCAGTAGGTATATCGAATGCCACTCTTAGGCACAGAATGTGCACCACCGGTACCTCATGGTTCACACAGCTGACAGATTGCTTGGACGTAGCTGATCATCCAGTCGCTGGATATTCTCCTCCGGGGATATTGACTGAACTTCATTTACATCTGTGGAATTGTGCAGTTGACTATAGGTCTTTACTCTGATAAATCCAAAGGTTATTCGTGTACAGATGATCAGACGTTTCTCTGATTTTAGGCCGCTGTATCTGCCACTCAGATCAATGGTAACTCTGGGAAGTTTCAGCGTGTCTAGTAACATAGCTGCTCAGACAAACACCTCAACGTTACGTTTCATAGCAGAAGATATCGCGTTGTTCGTTTCCAATAAGTTGGGAAAATCTATTAACTTAAAAAGAGATTATGTGTGCGTGGTGGACGTAGGTTTGTTCGAACTCTCGTTGAGATTGAACGATAAGATGTGCGGTGGAGCACCCAGAGTGGATCTGAGAGCTAGCAACAACGTTCTTCATATACGAACGTGTTCAGATTCTGGTCGTGCTCTTATCCAATTGTTGACATACTTTGCCAGTGACGGGGACCTGGCGCCAAATACAGAGAGCATGGAAAGTACCACAGTACCGAGCTCTGGAGATGAGGAAAGTCTTCTTGGAGATGAAAGTATCAATACGTTGAGCAAAAGCCAAGAGGAGCGTGTAAATAGTCTAATGGAGGAAGCAATGAAGGAGGCTGTGACAGGTAAATTGAAATCCATGCATCGAAATTATAACATAAAAGGTTAAACTAAGTGTTTACGGATAATCATAATTGTTGTTGTCCAGAAACAGATGAAAACGAGGATGAGAAAACACTGATGACCGAAAATCGGGTGGAGGTGTTCTTCTTCCCCGACGAACCCCACCCACCTGCGCGAACAGTACCTGAATTATGCAAAAGCCCCGAGCAATGTGCCAAGCCGGAGTGCAATATAGAGGCGGATGACTCTAACGAAGATTTTTGTATATTAGGAGAAGAGGCTGGTACGGGGATTATGCCTAGACACGGAGTGCCAGAAGTCCGTTGGCTGTGCCAAGAGTCTTTAAGGATAATAGATAACCATTTCGCGATTCCTCTTGGTAAAACGGATTTGCTCAGAGCGCCTAGACACTTCCCTGTTCCCATCTTGAGATACACTCTTTGCGAAATGACACTAATTTGGCATATGTACGGAGGAAGAGATTTCGATGCAGCACCACCGATAAAAAAACAAGTTATTATTAACGATAATGTAGCTCGCCCTAATTCAAACCTAACCCCAGAACGGTACGTATAATAATTGTGCAACTTGAAAAACAGAGTATACATGATACTATTCTGACCGTGTGCGTAGATCTTCATGGTGTGACGGTGTGGCGTTCAATAAATCGAATCCTAACGAAGTGCATTTTGGAAGCGTGCCAAATTCACCACGGAAGAAGGTTAAAGAACCGACAGAATGGCAAGCATTGGGTGGGCCAGGTCGCCGTCACGATATTCTAATGGAACTTCAGTTGAACAAAGTTCGGTTTCAACATGAGGTTTATCCAGATAACACTATAGAAGCAGCGAGGCAAATATTGCTAATAAGCGAGATAGAGATTAGAGACAGGCTAGGGTCTTCGCATATCAACAAATTTCTGTATCAATACTGTAGCGAAGCGAAACCGAAACAATCGCACGCAAATATGTTTGCTATGAAGGCGGTCCACGTCAGGCCGGACCCAAAATTAAGTGCTCAAGAATGTTGCTTAAAACTTAGCCTACTGCCGTTGCGTCTAAATATAGACCAAGACAGCCTATTGTTCTTGATAGAGTTTTTCAACGAATTAGGTGACGGTACGAAGCAAACTACCGAGAATTCTAATACACCTAATAATCCTCAATCTTCCCCGGTTTCTAAGCAAGGGACACCGACGCATCATCTACCGGTTATGAGTGTGAACGATACTGCGCCTAATGCTCCGTCACCAACGAATTCCCTGGAGAACGATACTATAGATCCGAATTTATTAATACTCTTGGAAGACGAGCTAATGATTAAAGAATGCAAAACGAAAGCGAAAGCAACGCAAGATGTTCACGACGACTGTCAACCGATTTATTTTAGGTAAGGACGATAGAAATGGCACGTAGGATAAGATAAGATAGTAAGAGTCATCTTATCGTACGAAGAATATCAATGAATAGATTAAGATGTACTTCTTTCTTTTTACTTTGTTTGCACCAGGAGTGTGATATTTTCCCCCGAAGTCCTTGTTAGATTAGATTATCATGGAAAACGAGTAGATCTCACCCATGGACCATTAGCGGGCCTTCTGATGGGGTTGGCACAGCTGAATTGTTCTGAATTAAGACTGAAAAGATTGACGCATCGACATGGACTTCTTGGGTTCAATAAGCTCATCACGTTTTTACTCTCCGAGTGGTTGCAGGATATTAAAAAAAATCAGCTCCCGAGCTTGCTTGGCGGTATAGGTCCTATACACTCGTTGGTACAATTATGTGAGCATAAGTATATTAGCTTAGTTGTTATACTATATTTAGTGCGCGTATTATAAGCGAATATTTGAATTTCACGTTTGCCCTTCGATTATTAATAGTTCAAGGGATACGAGATCTGTTTTGGTTACCTATTGAACAGTACCAGAAAGATGGCAGGATCATCAGGGGCCTTCAACGAGGTGCGAACAGCTTTACAACGTCTACGGCAATGGCAACGTTAGAGTTAACTTCTAGACTGATACACGCTATACAAAGCACTGCTGAAACTGCTTATGACATGGTCAGTCCTGGTCCCAGTGTTAGGCATAAACCTAGAGGACAAAAGGGACGCCGGAAAAGATACAGTCAGCCATTGGACATACGAGAAGGAATGGCGAACGCTTATTTACTAGTGAAAGAGGTGAATCATTTAATACTCGGGGAGCCGTTACATTTAACTATTTGTACACTGACAAGTGCACCTACAAGTTTTTCTAGAAATGACATACTGATATTATCTAAATTGTCTACTTTGTTATTCAAAAATAATTCAAAGTATTATTTTGTGATAACTTTCGTTAATCACTGTAAGTGCTACAATTTAAAAGTGTACATTTGAAAACAACCATTAACGGCTGTTCGCGTAACTGTTTTATCAAAAGTTATATACATCTTGATAGGTTGTATAATCTACATAAAACTGTTATAGTCGCCTAATGTCAGAAGTATTCATTTCAGGGCTTGGGTGAAACTGCAAATCAGTTGGTTCGTGTAGCTAGCGAGGAACACGAACAAAAGGGAGTATCTGGTGCAGTTGGTGGTGTTTTACGGCAAATACCGCCCACGGTCGTGAAACCAATTATTTTGGCCACTGAAGCTACTAGTAACGTTTTAGGCGGTATGCAGTCACAGTTAGTACCCGATGCAAGACGCGAAGCGGCTCAGAAATGGCGGCAAGATTCGAACGAAGTGAATTGATATTGCTCTGTCGGTAACGGGGCATGTTGCTTCTCGATACGACCTCTCTGTAATATATGGAATCCATGACGCGAAATCACAAGGGAACGCGAGTGAATCTTCGAAACAAGAAACATACAATACGAGAAAGTCAATTTTCAGACAAGATGAAACGCGAACGTAACGAACCTTAGACCTAAATGCATAAATTTTGTTCAAAGCCTTTGTAAGATTATGCAAACAAGCGCTGCAACGTATTCGTGTAACTATGTTTCAGTTCCGTTGTTTTTTCTTTTTGTTACATATAATATGTATATATATATATATATATATAATATATATATATATATATATATATATATACTCACACACACGATATATATACGA